CAGGGCAAAGCTAAATCTTCAAAGGAAATGGTGCAGATAGCTGTGGGTAAACTTCTGTCCTGGGTGTCGGCATCGGAGTTGTTTAAAAATCAGAATTTCAGTCTGTTGTTTAGATCTCAGAACTGGTTGTATCTGTAATTTGTGGTGGCTCTAGGCAGCCTCTAATGGCCTAGGCTCCTTTGTACTGGTTCTTATTTTAATAAATTACCATACCTTTTCAAAAAAAAAAAATCGATGAAGGAAAACCATTAAAAACATAGGGAACATGGTGTGAAAATATTGGAAACACAAACAAGAAAAATGATAAAAAGGATATTCAAGGAGTGGGTTTCTTGACGAAGGGTCCCCTTTTACCCATCAAAAAAAAAAAAAAAACAAAGGGTCTCCTTTCTAGTAGACAAAAAGTAGTGCTAAAATTTTATTGGAAAGAAGAATAAGAAAAAGTACAAGTCAAAGCAAAAGAGATAACCTGACTGACCCCACTCAAACAAATAAAACAGCTTAAATATCTGAACCACAAGTGTTGCATCCCACTAACATTTTTCTGTTAGCTTGTTAAATCAATAGTCTCCAAGTTGGAATGCAGCGTTCTCCTGAATGCTAGCAAGAATTCTTCCCTTGTTAGAGATATACATAATGATATTGGAATTACATTCCATTCTTAAAACCAACCTTGATGAATAAGACTACCACATATCCTGAAAATTAATTTACTAAACCAGTGCTGTAACATCCTTCAGACTCTTCATCTATGTTCTATTGAACAATGCCAGAAAACAACAGTAACCACGGTCAGATAAAAGGCCCAAGGTCCAGAAGGACGGTGTTTCTTTCAGGCTTCAGTACATCCAACATTACTTCTTTGGGAAGATATCAAAACATTTCCATAACTATTTATCATAATAAAATCCAAGAAAAGCCTGTGAAATCTATGGACAACCAAACACGGGAGCAGAAGAGTTTTCCAACCACAATTTAGAGCCTTGAACATATAATAATCCATGTAGCAAGGGCAGTCCGTTTTTTCACCATGTCAAACAATGCAATTACATTTGAGAATTTTATCTAGGGAACACACCGCCCATCATGTATTTCTTTTTTTTACTATACCTGAATACCATAATATGCTTTCATAATTAAGTTCCTTTTGGAAATGTATCTCTTTATTTGTGTAGTAAACTTTAAGGATATGTTCTCTTTCAGGTTTTCTAACAATGCAATGACAGCAATTATTGACACCAAGACATAATCAATGTCATTATTACATGGACTACCACAAGCCTCTGGCTCAAAAAGTTTCCCAACGTGCCTCATGAGATCGAGAAAAGAGAAAAGAGGCATCCAAACACAGAACAAGACACGGAAAAAAAAAGGGAATAACAGAAAAGGACTTGAATCCAATCCCTCGATGTCACATGATCAACAAACTATTAATTGGCAAATAGGATCAACTTGACCATTACTCCAGAGTATAATGATAACTTTTGTCAAAACCATAAAATATGGAAAACAACCAATTTCAGTTATATATAGAACTAATGAATTAAACACTAGTGAGAGAGAGAGAGAACCTGGACAGTGAGTCCTGTAAGAATTTCCCATCTAAGCTCACACGATCTACCAGCTCATTGAAGAGGGGAGCTAACTCACATGCTTGTTGCCAATGACTCCGAGGGAACGACATGGGCAATAAAGCAAATGGAGCATGTACCATACCTACACCCGGAACTGTTCCTGACCTCTTCTATTCCATCACCAACATGAAATATAAGACTGGCAATTCTATATTCTTCACCTTAAATCAAGTTTTGCTTGAACTTGAAATAAATAGCAAATAAGGTATTGCTTGAACAACTAAAACATGTAAACATAACTGGTTCATATGGTAAAATAATGAATATCAAGATCAGCTAATTAAGATTAATTGCGATATAACCTCAACAAGCCTATCATACGAAAACATATTTCTTCCATTTCGAATCAATCAGCAATGAAGAAAAAAAAATGAATCGAATAAATTTAACTGATAAAATATGAAAGATGTATTAATTCAATTTAAATCCATATAAGGAGATATAAGCACCTGAACGCTCCTGTCTCCAACAACAAGTCCATGGAGAGAACTCCACACCAGAGCGTCATAAACTAATTGCTGAAGCAATTTTGGGTTGATATTATGAAGGCAAGCCATGGGTCTCATACTAGTAGCTTCATCTTGGGTTTCTTTCTCTTCAAAAGTTTCACATTTCAGATGAAAAGAAGACGAAGAAGATAGGGAAGAATGCGATGACTGAATCATTGTTTTTCTGGGTTTCTGCAGCTGGGTCTGAAAGATATTAATGATAGAATTGAAGGGGAAGTGTGGTTTTGGTTTGTAAGGCAAGAGAGTATCAGTGGGAGGGAGTGAGAGGGACAGAGAAGAAGAGCAAGCAGCCCCCATGTTTCCTGAATTTTCTCTTAATGTGTTTCTGCCTTGTAAAAGCTGATTTTGAAAACTTCGAGCAGCCATCGTAGAGGTGGAGTGTTGGGCTTGACTGGATAATCTGACTTCATTTTCCTACGAGGTTATTAATTTAGTGCACGGCTTCTCTGTGAAGGATGGACGCTGCATCACGGATGGTGGACCTCACTCTCAGATTCTTAGATGCGCCCCTCAACCTGACCAACCCAACCAGACTTGCTCGAATTAGGTTAGGGTTGGCCCAAGTTGCAGCCCCAGCTAGGCAGATGCCCCGTTGCGTAGCCGAGAAAACATTACCTGCGAGTTGCGACTGCGACCCCTGAACGACCCCCAGTGATTTTTGAACACGTCAATGTTTCAATCACTGAGGGTTGATGAATTATTCTGTTGTTCTCTGCGGTAGCCCCTTCAAAAATGGACATTCATTGARAATACAAAAGACAAAAGGTCTTTCAGCCGTTGTTTAACGAGAGGCCCGGACTCTGGAGCTTCTTGTGCCCGCAAATGGGAATGGCCGAATAGAATTGGAATCTCTATCGTAAATAATAACATATAAGTACGGGAGATGTTCTCAATGCAGGGTGGGATGTTCCCSTAAGGTCAGTGTGAGGCACCATGTATGAGGAGCAGATCTGATCATTGCCGAATAGGCCTTTAACCATTAGCCCCACTATAAGTAGCCAATTTCCCTTGGATGTGCTTCTTTTAAAAATAAGTATTTATTCAAACAATCACTTATTTGCATTTGACACCCATTTTGTTCAAATGTTTATTTTAAAAAAATAGGCACTTATTTCATACTAGGCGTTTGGTGATTTATTTCTCTAATAAGCACTTGTTCATTTAAAAAGACAACTTTGACCCTCATTTTAAGAGTGTCACATATACAACAATTTAACAAATTTAGAGAGGATTTAAACAATAAATCAAGCACATTATTATAGTAAGTTTGAATAACAAAATGAAATTTAGAGAGGATCACCAACTTGGACTCAAATCCAACATCGAGCTTGGAAAACCCTAACCTATAACAGAGAAAAAAATCTAGTTAAGGCTAGTTTGAAAAACAAAACAGAAAATTAAAAAAAAAAAAAAACGCCTTACCCGATTGATCGGTTGAGGCTAAGAAAATAGAAAAAATAAAATTAAAAGAGATGATACTTTACCTAGTTTTTTTATTCGAGCTATAGTTCCACCATTGGTCTAGATGATGGAGAAAAACTATCAAAATTAGGAATGGTTCGTAGAACAAAATGAAAAGTAAAAAAGCTTAAAAACACTTGACCCAGTTGATCATTTAAAAATGAGAAAACGAAAAGAGAGGATACCTTACCTAGTTGACTGGTCAAGTTGCAGTTCCACCGTTGGTCTTTGGAGAAGAAACTATCAAAGAGTCAAACCCTATGCTTTTTTGTTGATCAAAGGGCATAAATGGCACTTTGAAATCTAATCAAAAGTATTTTGGAATCAAAATTTTGAATAAGTGCACATTGTACAAGCACTTAAAAAAAGCTAAGATTTTTTGTCTCTTCAATAAGCACTTATTTTGGGTTTATTTCCCGAATTCCAATAAATGTTTATTAGTGTGGTCTCGACCCAAAATAAGTGTTTATTCAAATAAGCACTTATAGACTTGGCCTTAGATTGCTAGTATCACCCTATAGAGAGCACCTCACACCAACCTCACAATGTAATGCAGTTGTGCATGGGGAACATCATCCCATGAATAATGGCATCTAAGTATGGGAGATGTTCTCAGTGTACAGTTACAATGCATTGTGAGGTTGGTGTGAGGTATGCTGTGAGAGGAGTTTTTTGCTTGCAAATAATCTTGTCACCAAATTTATAGCTGAAATTGAGAATCAATCGTTATAACACTTACATAGAGTAAAGTATTTCCTTTGGGTCCCATCTCCTCCCACTAGCCAATGGATTTCGTAATCACAAAACTATCTTCAAATAATCCTCATAGTCCCTTGCAGTCATGCATTGGGAATATCTCTCTATGAATAAAACACATACAAATATAAAGATGTTCCCAATGCACCAATGCAAAAGTGCTTTTTTTTCTAGTAAAGAAAGAGAAAGGGAATCCCCAAAAACATCAAGGATACAATATCAACCCTTGTTCACAGAATTGTCATTACATGTGGAAGCTTAACAACATTTATATTTAGGCCATGTTTGATGATTAAATACTTATTAAAAGAAGAGGTATTTATTTTGACAACCACTTAAGGTTGTTTGGTAACTCACTTTTCAAATCACTTATTATGTTTTTAAGCACTTATTGGGGTGGGAATGTTTGGTAAGCTTCTTTCCCCATATGTGCTTATATTGACACAAATGACAATTTTAGCCCTCACTTCGCTCATACATATATACAATGCTTTTCACATGTTCTACTATACATTTCAACTGAAAACCCACGTGGACCCCCACATGAATCGCCATGTGGACCCAAATTATAATAATAATAAATAATCATAATAAAAAAATAATAATTATTAAAAATAATAATAGCTGATATTAACAAATAATGAATAATATTGATATTTAACAAATTACTACCAGAAAGTGCTTTTAATGCACAGATTTCACAAATTACTTCCAGAAAGAACTTTCAAGGCACAGTTTAAACAAAATACTTCGATAAAGTACTTCTAAGGTGCAATTTTCACAAAATACTTCCAGAAAATGCTTCTAAGGCGTAGTTTACACAAAATACCTCCAAAAGTACTTTTAAGGTGCATTTTACACAAAATACTTCCAAAAAGTACTTTTAAGGTGCAATTTACACAATACTTTCAGAAAATACTTTTAAGGCGTAATTTACACAAAATACTTTCAGAAAGTACTTTTAAGGCACAGTTTTCACAAAATACTTCCAAAAAATACTTTTAAGGCACAATTTTCACAAAATACTCTCAAAAAGTACTTTTAAGATAGTTTTTACAAAATACTTCTACAAAGCACTTTCAAGATGCAGTTTTCACAAAATACTTCTAGAAAGTGCTTTTAAGGCATAGTTTTCACAAAATACTTATAGAAGATGTAATTAAAGATCAGTTTTCATAAACAAATTCCCTATCCATATTTGTTTAATGTGCCCTAAAGTAACATAAAAGTGTGAATATTTGTAAAATTGAATATCATTTGGACATGCACAACATGCCTAATGTAATAACTCCAACAAATAGAACACAYGTGTATGCCCAGTACACATAGGTTAATTTGGATGCATCATTCCAACTAGACGGCATAGCAGTTGAAGAACCATGTAAAACTATAAAACAGCAGAATTGGCAATCTGCTTCTTCATATCTTTTATATGAGCAAAACACTGCACCATTATACCGATTGACCTACAAGTTGCATTTGGCCCAAGTATATTATATACCTGGATGACGACCAATGAACACTACATAGGATATCTTACCAGGCATTAATGACTTGTAATGAGAGAATATATACTATCTGAAGGGATGGGAGATCCATCATATGGATGGCAGAACCCTGCAGGAAGGTTGGGCAAAATTTCAAAAATTTCTCTCTCTCCCATCTGTCCCTATTTTAGAAAATTGCATTTTCAATGATCAATCTTGAACCAAACTAAGCCAGATCTGAAACCGAAAGGGAGGAGAGGGATATAACTGATATGAAGTAACAGTAACTCCCAATGAAGGTGTTCACGCCCAAGGAGAACCCGCTTCCACTAAAGATGACAGTGTGTGGTGAAACAGGATCAATAAGATGTTAGACAGTTTTGTATGCCCTTAGCTTCAATAAATTTTGATGTACTTTTGATATTTAATGTAAATAAATAAAGTACATGTATGATTCATGTTGTGTGGTATGCTTCTGTGTAAGACCCTGAAACTGGACACTTAATGAGACTTGTGTTAGTTTTAAATGTTCACAGCCGTTGGATAAATCTGGGGAGATTTATCCTGCCAAGGCTGACACTGGTGTGCTGCCAACTGTTGAGGTGGCTTGTCTCAGCCGCCAGGGTGAGACCCAAGGCACACGCAGTGTAGGATT